TTCTCTGCCCCCATCACACCTACTGCAAAATGAAGCCCAGCAGGGAGACCAGGGCTAGGAGCAGGTCCTGGGAATCTCAAAGCACTGGGCCAAGTGTCCTCTGGAATTTAAGCTGTCAGTTGTGTAATACTTTTTCAGTAATGCCCACAACCCCAGGAAGCTCTGATGTATATCTGAGGTTAAAAATTAAAAAGAGATTGGCCCCTATGCAGTGATGAGGAAACTGAGGCCCGAAAGAAGCAGGGGCTGACTCCTTACCCTGGTCTTTCTGGAACCACATAAAGCCCCTGTGTGGGTAAATATCCGTGAGTGCTATGAGCACTGCAGGCACAGATAACCTCTGGCTGGTGGCCTGGAACCTCAAGGCTGGGCCTGTGTTGAAGGCCCATGCGGCCTGGGTCACCTAGAAAATTCACTTTCTCTTGGGGACCCTTAGGGGAGCCAGACACTGTCCTGGGGGCTCATAGTTTTTGGGAGAGCCAAGTGAAATGCATGTGCCTATGAGGGAGATAGGCCTGGACCAGCATTCTGGAAGGTCCCCGGGTATGTGTGGTGGGGGTGGGAATGGGGGGGGGACGCCTGCCTGAACCACCTCTTCCTGTCCTCTGCCACTGCCCTCCACCTCTGAGAGCAGCCTGACTGTGCATCTCTGGTCCTCCGAGTGCCACCACCAGCCTGCACCCAGACTCACCCTGCTGGCCCTTCCCTCATGTTCACAGTAAGTCGGTCACCAAGGCTGTTTCTGGCTACCATCTCAAATATCCATCTCCTCGTCCTCTGCAGTCCTTAGATGCCTCTATCATCTCTCTCCTGGGTAAATGCAATAGTCTCCCCTGACCCCCACCTCCACTCTCCCCGTCTTAGCCACCCTCCACCCTGGCACAACTCGGGCTTTCAGATCAATGTCTTTCAGTGGCACCTGAGGTCCCATGGCTAAAGATCCTCCAGGAGGTTCAATGATCCCCTCTGCAGAGGAGATTTCTCCCTCCCCTGATCTCCTGCCACTCTCCACCTGTACCCGCCTTGTGGCTTGAATCACTTCCCACTTCTTACTGGAGCCTATCCACCCCCACCTCAATCAGCTTTAGGATTCACTTCATGATCCAAATGAATACTGCTGAGGACAGAGGCCTGCCCTCCACAGCAGGGGGCCTGCAGCTTGGCACACAGCTAATAAATAGATGGGGGGAAGAGAGGGAAAGAGAAAAGGAATGAAGAGGGGAGAGAGGGAGGATGGATGAACAGATAGAAGAATGGGCATATAGCTGAGTATTAGAAGTTCTGGAAAACTGGGGCGCCTAGGTGGCTCAGTCGTTAAGCGTCTGCCTTCAGCTCAGGTCATGATCCCAAGGTCCTGGGATCGAGCCCCACATCGGGCTCCCCGCTCTGTGGGAAGCCTGCCTCTCTCTCTCCCACTCCCCCTGCTTGTGTTCCCTCTCTCGCTGTGTCTCTCTCTGTCAAATAAATAAAATCTTAAAAAAAAAAAAAAAGTTCTGGAAAACTGTTTCTTAGGGAAGAAGCCAGAAACAACTGATACAAATGTAGCTTTAGAGAATTTGTGGATTTTCTTTTTTTTTTTTTTTTTTTTAGATTTTATTTATTTATTTGAGACAGAGAGAATGAGATACAGAGAGCATGAGAGGGAGGAGGGTCAGAGGGAGAAGCAGGCTCCCTGCCGAGCAGGGAGTCTGATGCGGGACTCGATCCCGGGACTCCAGGATCATGATCTGAGCCGAAGGCAGTCGCTTAACCAACTGAGCCACCCAGGCGCCCCTGGATTTTCTTTTAAGGTACAGAGAAAGGAGTTGATTTCTCAAAATGCTTTTTCACATCTGCCATGCTCTTGCCTCATTACCGCCTATCACCCTGTTCTTGAACTACATGGCAACTCCTTATGTCACCTCTCCATACTGGAGAGCATATGGGCCACCCTCACTGTACAGATGGGGAAAATGAGGCACAGAGAAGGAAAGAGCCTTGTTTAAGATCACACAGCAAGTGATTAGCAGAGCCAGGGCTGAAAGCCAGACCTGTCACAGCAGGTCAGGATGAATGCCAGGGAAAGCCACTTACTCTCAACACCAGTACCTCATGAGCCTGGATCTTGAGAAGAGATTCAAGGAGGGACCCAGCCTCACCCACCCAAGGATGACAGCCCCAACTTCCCATGAAGCAGGACTTCTGAACTCTGTTGGACAGCTGTTCATTGAGAGTGTCCTGTGAGGCAGGAACTATGCTGGGATAGACTCAGCCCCTGGCCCCCAGCAGTGAGGCGTCTGTGGGAAACAGGTCCATGGCTGGGGTAGTGTCCCAAGCTGACTGCTGGGAGGGCTGCAACAAAGACACAGAGGGGGCCGTCCCGGGGGGGGGGGGGAGGGGGGCGGAAATCAGGGAGGGGAGCCCAGGCCAAGTTGAGCCTAGAAGGATGGAGAGGATTTGCAACCTCAGCAAAGTGGGAGAGGCAGAGAGGTGGTGGTGAGCGCCGGGAGAGGGAACCCAGGGGAAGGGACAAGGGTGCCAGCCTCCTAATAGCTGCGTGCAGGGGGAGGTAAGAGGTGACGATCAACTCCCAGGGGGCCCCATGCCCCACGGAAGAGTACGTACTCTTTAACCTGCCGACAATGGGATGAAGGGTGTTAGAAAGTGACAGGACAGAGCTGCATTTTAGAAAGCTCACCCGGACAGCCACAGTGGTGAGGATGAGCAGCGACAGGTCAGACATAAAGGGGAAGCGCGATTCTGTACCCGGGTGGAGCCAGACTGAGCCTGGCACAAAGGGGGCGCTCAGGGGAGGAGGGACAACGACAGAAGAAAAGGATGCTCAGAGCTGTCCTTAGGAGGGTTGGTTGGGGAGAGCTGTTTTGTAGCAACAGATGCGGTCATAGTTTGGAGGCTTTTTCCAATTCTAACTCTGCTCCAGAAACAAAGCAAAAGCCACGCCTTGGCCGGACGCTGAGCGCTAATCCCATCAGCGCCTGGAAACCCTCCCTGACGCAATCTCTGGCTCGCAGACAGGGGGACCCTCCCTCGGTCTCGCCTTCCCTCCTTCTCTCCCGGGGGCCCGACGGCCACCCCGGCTTCCTGGCTGCCCCGGAAACTGCCGGCGCGGAGCCTCCGGGCGCTTCGCCTCGCACGCCGCTCCAGCCCGCACCCGGGGTCCTGCAGCGCAGCCCGCGTCCTGACCCCGCGTGGCGGCGGCCGCCCCGCTCCCCCGGGCACCAGCCCGCCGCGGGGGAGGGTGAAGGCGGGGGTCCCGGAGCCGAGGCTCGCGAGCCCTCCCCGCACCCGCCCGGCCGCCCGCGGGCTCACCTGACTTGCCCATGGCCCGCTCGGCGCGCTCCCCAGTTCCCGCCGCCGCTGCGCTGCGCTCTCTTGCCGGCCCCGCGCAGCTGGACCCCGGGGGAGGAGGCCGGGCGGCCGCAGCCCCTCCCCCGGCGCGGCCCGGCCCCCGCCTTATAAGGCAGCGGCAGCTGCCGGCGGAGGCGCCTGGGGCCACTCCGCCGGCTGCCCGGAGGAGGCGCCGCGCGCTCCGCTCTCCGCGCGCCTCCCCGTCCGACTCGGGAGAACTCGCCTCGCGAAGGGACCTCCTCGACTGTCCAGGGCTCTCCCGGTGTGGACTGGGAGTCCGGGACCTCCCGGATCTCAGCCCCGAACTGCCCCTCTCGGGACGGAATGGGGGTGCTTAGGGAAGCCGCTAAGGCGCTGCGAGGAGCGCGGTGCTTACTGTGGCGGCACGAGAGAGACAGTTCCAGCCCGCATCACCAGGGGTCGGGGCTCTCCCCACTTCGGCCTGACCCCCACAAACACCCCAGGCTCCGAGTGCACCGCCTTCTGCTCCCCAGTGACACTGGACTCCAGGGGCATCTCTGTCTTCTTCACAGGACATACCCTCCGGTGCGAATCAGGGTTGGAGTCCGGCTCACCCTCCCAACCTCGCCAACCCTGCGTGGGCCCTCCCAGGGAGGCTGCGGCAGCCCTGCTCTGACCTGTGGGCCTGTCCGTCCTTGGCTATCAAACCAAGCCAAATCCCCCACCCCTGAAGTCTGACTCCAGACCTGTCTCTTCAACCCCCTAACTTCATCCCATGCTCCAGTCAAACTAGACTTGACATTCCCCAAACACGCTCAGAGACTTCTTCCCTCTTCGCCTTTGCTGGGCCTGTTTCCTCAGCCTGGGTGCCGGCTCATCTCTGCCCATTCGAGTCCTACCTATCCCTCAGGGCCTTTGGGTCCCTTTAACTTCCAGAGGCTCCGACCTTTCTTGATATTGGGGGCTGTGGTCAGTACACACCTGGCAATGGGGAGACTTGGTCTCAGTCATGGCCCCACCCCTGGGTGAGAACAGAGCACTTGCAGGAAGACACAGCCTGTGTCACCTGCGTCACTCCCCCAGAGTAACTCCTTAAGTAAAGGAAGCTAAATTCAGGTAGGCTCTTTCAATAAATGGGCACTGAAGTGAACTGACTTGCTGATCAGAAGGGGAGAATTTGCCATACGACCGGCTTCAGATGTCCAGTAGGGCAATGGTACTCTCTACTTCCTCCCCCTATGTCAGACTTTCAAACTGTGGTAGAGCGTTAGAAAGAGCGGCCCACCCTGAATCAAAGGGAATTTTGGTGCTAGATGAAGATCCAACCCATTGTGTTCAAAGCCCTCTCCCGTTTTGCCAACAAATGCCCATTGAAATGACCAAATACACCCTGTTCCATATCACCTCTAGAATCTCTAGAAGGCTGTCTCCATTGTAAGGAAAACTTCAAGGCCGGGAGTGGAGACAGCTGAGCACAATGGAGCCACTCACTGCCTGCTGAGAAGGACCACTGAGGTTCACTCCCATTTCACCCCCATACAGAGATAAGGGTGGGCTTGGAGGGGCTGGGGAGGACAAAATCCAAACTTTAGTGGCATCTTTGGAGTCTGTGCGGGGTGGGGTGCTGTGGGCTGTAGAGGTGGCCTTAGCTTATGGAAGGGACAGTGTGCTGAGTGGGGTTGGGGCAGTGCCAAAGTTGCCCCTTCCAAGGGCTGTGGGCTGGTTGGAGGGGGAGCCACTGGCCAGCTGGTCCCAACCGGTGCCCGGGCAGCAGAGATGAGAGAAATGGCAACAAAGGTCAGACACAGGGAGGGTTTGACCCGAGGTATCACTTCTTTTTCATTTTATGTCCTATTTAAGAACTCCTTACTTACTCCAAGATCATGAAATATTTCTGTTTTCTTCTAGAAGTCTTTTTGAAAGAATTTATTTATTTATTTATTTATAGCAAACTGGGAGGGGGGCAGAGGGAGAGAGAGAGAGAGAGAATCTCAAGCAGACTCCACCCTGAGCTGGAGCCAGAAGTGGGGTTCGATCTCACAACCCTGAGATCATGACCTGGGCCAGAACCAAGAGTCGGATGTTGGACCGACTGCGGCACCCAGGTGCCCCTCCTCTAGACGTTTTAAGGTTTTAGCTCTCACATTTAGTTTTAGTGCTTACGTTCAATCTGATTATGGTGTGTAGTATAAAGTCAGGATTATGACTCTCTCTTTTGTTATCTGGCATATGAATGCCCAATTGCTCCAGTATCATTTCTTGAGTTGACTATATGTGGGCTCCCTATTCTGTTCCATTGATCTATACGCATATTTATACACATATTTTTACAATAATACCACCCTGTCTCAATTGCTGTAGCTTTATAATAAATCTTTTTTTTTTTTTTAAGATTTTATTTATTTGACAGAGAGAGACACAGTGAGAGAGGGAACACAAGCAGGGGGAGGGGGACAGGGAGAAGCAGGCTTCCAGCTGCGCAGGGAGCCGGATATGGGGCTCCATCCCAGGACCCTGGGATCATGACCTGAGCCGAAGGCAGACGCTTAAAGACTGAGCCACCCAGGCGCCACCCCCCCTTTTTTTTTTAAGTAGGCTCCATGCCCAGTGTGGAGCCCAGTGTGGGGCTTGAACTCACAACTGTGAGATCGAGACCTGAGCCAACATCAAGAATTGGACGCTTAAATGACTGAGCCCCTATAATAAATCTTGATATCAAGTAATGTAAATCCTCTTATTCTTTTTCTTTTTGAAGTTGTTTTGTTCATTTTACTTTATTTTATTTTTTTGTTTTGTTCATTTTAAGTCCTTTGCATTTCCATATAAATTTTAGAATTGGCTCATCAATTACTATAAAACAAACAAACAACCTGCTGGGTTTTTGATTGGGATTGTCATGAATACATAGATAAACTTGGGGGGAACTGACCTCTTAATGATAACGAGTTGCTGGTCCATCACCATGGTGTATCTTTGTTTTTTTATATCTTCTTTAATCTCTCTATGTTTTGTGGGGTCTTTGCTCTGTATTTAGTCTTTTCTTCTTATAATGTCTTTTGGATTTGGGGATCAACACTGGCCTTATAAAAGAAGTTGGAAAGGGTTCTCTATACTATTTTCTGGAAGAGTTTGTATAGAATTAGTATTATTTCTTTCTTAAATATTTGCTACAAATCATCGGTGAAGCCATCTAGTCATGGAGGTGTTTTTATTCTTTTTTCGGGGAGGGAAGGTTTTCAATTACAAATTCAGCTTTATTGATAGATATGGAATTCTTCAGATTGTCCTTTTCTTCTTGAGTGAGCTTTGGTAACTTGAATCTTTTAAGAAATTTGTGTATTTCATTCACCTAAATGGTGGAATTTATATGCATGAGGTTGCTAATATTGTTATCCTTTAAAAGAATGATGTCTAACGGTGACCCTTTATCATTTCTGGTATTGTGCCTTCTAAAGGTTTATCAACATAGTTGATCCTTATTATTTGTGGATTCTGTGTTTATGAATTCACCTACTTGCTAAGATTTATTTGTAACCCTCAGATCAATACTTGCAATGCTTTCAGTCATTGGAAAACATGTGCGGACATTGAAAAATTTGAGTTGCCCAACACACAAGTTCCCAGCTGAGGTTGAACAAGGAGACGCCATGAGATAGCTCTCACACGTAAACAAATGTCCTTCCCAGAGTCTACGTAGTCCCAGGTTTGGGGCATTTTTGTGTTTTCTGTTGGTGATTCTGCTGTTTAAAATGGTCCCCAAGTGAAGTGCTGAAGTGTTGTTTAGTGCCCCTAAATGCAAGAGGGGTGTGTTGTACCTTATGGAGAAAATTTATGTGTTAGATAAACTTTGTTCAGGCATGACTTCGAATGCTGTTGGCCATGAGTTCCATGTTCATGAATCAACAATATAAATTAAGGTATCTTTAAACAAAAACACACATGAAGTAAAGCTATTACTGATCCACTGACAAAAATGTTGCGGCCAGAGGCTCACAGGAACCTAACCCAGTATTTTCCCTAGCAGCGATGGGTCAGGATTCTCCAAAGCAGTGTCCCCTGCAATTTTATAGAACATAACTGCTGCAAATCATGAGAATCAATTGTACTTTTGATCTCAAAAAAACAGCTTTTTGTTTCATTGATTTTCTCTATTATTTTCCCATTTACTATTTCATTGATTTTTATATTTATTACTTTTTTTCTGTTTACATGGGGTTTAACTTACTCTTATTTTTCCAGTTTCTTAAAGGGGAAATCAGGTCATTGATTGTAAGACATTCTTCCTTTCTAATATAAGCATTAAGTGCTATAAATTTCCCTCTAAGACTGTTTTTAGCTGCATGTCACTAAATTTGATATGTTGTGCTTTTGTTTTTATTCAGTTCAAAATCGTTTCTAATATCGCTTGTGATTTATTCTCTCATGACTTATAGGTTATTTTAAAATGTTATTTACTTTCCAAATATTTGGGAAATTCCAGATTATTTTTCTGTTATTGATTCCCACTTTAATTCTGTGTGGACAGAGACTATACTTTGTATTACTTCAATCTTTTCTTACATTTACTGAGAATTATCTTATGGCCCAGAATGTGGCTTTATCTTGGTACATTCTGTGTAAACTTGAAAAGACTGTGTTCTGTTGTTACTGGGTAGAATGTTCCATAAATTTCAATTCAAGATGAAGTTGACTGATAATGTTGTTCAAGTCTTTTATATCCTTATTGATTTTCTGTCTACTTATTCTATCAAATATTGAGAGAGGGATGCTGAAATCTTCAGATATAATTGTGCATTTGTCTATTTCTCCTGATATTCGAATAAGTTCTGCTTCATGTACATTGTGTTTTTTTGTAATTTTTAAATTTAAATTCAATTTAGTTAACATATACTGTATTATTAATTTCAGGGGTAGAATTTAGTGATTCATCAGTTGCATGTAACACCTAGTGCTCATTACATCAAGTGCCCTCCTTAATGCTCATCACCTAATTACCCCATCCCCCCAACCACCTCCCCTCCAGCAACCCTGTTTGTTTCCTGGAGTTAAGAGTCTCTTATGGTTTTCCTCTCTCTCTGTTTTCATCTTATTTTCTTTTTCCTTCCCTTCCCCTATGTTCATCTGTTTTGTTTCTTAAATTCCACATATGAGTGAAATCATACAGTGTTTGTCTTTCTCTGACTGACTTATTTCACTTAGCATAATACCCTCTAGTTCCATCCATGCCATTGCAAATGGCAAGATTTCATTCTTTTTGATGGCTGAGTAATATTCCATTGTATATATACCATATCTTTATCCATTTATCTGTCAATGGACATCTGGGCTCTTTCCATATTTGGGCAATTGTGGGTATTGCTGCTAGAAACATTGGGGTGTATGTGCCCCTTCGAATCACTATGCTTATATCCTCTGGATAAATACCTAGTAGTGCAATTGCTGGGTTGTAGGGTAGTTCTATTTTTAACTTTTTGAGGAACCTTCAGGCTGATTTCCGGAGTGGCTGCACCAGTTTGCATTCCTGCCAACAGTGTAGGAGGGTTCCCCTTTTTCTGCATCCTTGCAACATTTGTTGTTTCTTGAGTTGTTAATTTTAACCATTCTGACTAATGTGAGGTGGTATCTCATTGTGGTTTTGATTTGTATTTCCCTGATGCCAACTGATGTTGAACAGTTTTTCATGTGTCTGTGGACCATTTGCATGTCTTCTTTGGAGAACTGTCTGTTCATCGTCCCATTTCTTGCCTGGATTTTTTGGGTTTTGTATCCATTTCTTGACTGGATTTTTTGTTCTATAAAGAACTCATAGGTTTTGGATACTAGCCCTTTATCTGATAAGACATTTGCAAATATCTTCTCCCATTCTGTAGGTTGCCTTTTATTTTTTTTTAAAGATTTTATTTATTTGACAGAGAGAGACAGAGTGAGAGAGGGAACACAAGCAGGGGGAGTGGGAGAGGGAGAAGCAGGCTTCCCGAGGAGCAGGGAGCCCGATGCGGGGCTTGATCCCGGGACCCTGGGATCATGACCTGAGCCGAAGGCAGACGCTTAATGACTGAGCCACCCAGGTGCCCCTGTAGGTTGTCTTTTAGTTTTGTTGACTGTTTCCGTTGCTGTGCAAAAGCTTTTTATCCTGATGAAGTCCCAATAGTTCATTTTTGCCCTTGCTTCCCTTGCCTTTAGAGACATGTCTAGCAAGAAGTTGCTGTGGCCAAGGTCAAAGAGGTTGCTGCCTGTGTTCTCCTCTAGGATTTTGATGGATTCCTATATCACATTTAGGTCTTTCATCCATTTTGAGTTTATTTTTGTGTATGGTGTAAGAAAGTGGTCCAGTTTCATTCTTCTGCATGTGGCTGTCCAATTTTACTGGCACCGTTTATTGAAGAGACTGTCCTTTTTCCATTGGATATTCTTTCCTGCTTTGTCGAAGATTAGTTGACCATAGAGTTGAGGGTTCATTTCTGGGCTCTCTATTCTGTTCCATTGATCTATGTGTCTGTTTTTGTGCCAATACCATACTGTCCTGATGACTATAGCTTTGTAATATAACTTGAAGTCCAGAATTGTGATGCCTCCAGCTTTAATTTTCTTTTCAACATTACTTTGGCTATTCACGGTCTTTTGTGGTTTCATACAAATTTTAGGATTATTTGTTCTGGCTCTGTGGAAAATGCTGATGGTATTCTGTAGGGATTGCACTGAATGTGTAGATTGTTTTGGGTGCTTCATGTACTTTGAAACTTTTTATTTGGAGCATAAACATTGAAAATTCTTATATCATTTTGATAAATTAACTCATCATTATGAAAGGGCTCTATCTCTGGTAATATTCCTTCCTGTGAAATTTACTTTGTCTGATATTAATGTAGTCATTAAAGCTTTCTTTTAATTAGTATTAGTAGATTCATCTAATTTCCACCCTTTAACTTTTTTTCCTTGTTTCAGCAACATAAGATACTACTGTTTCCCATAGCAGAATGCCATTTGGCCTTTATGTTTCATAGAATTATAGCTTATTGGCATAAAACTTGATTTTTAGGGGTGCCTGGGTGGCTCAGTTGGTTAAGCATCTGCCTTCCCCTCAAGTCATTATCCCAGGGTCCTGGGATCAAGCCTCGTGTCAGGCTCCCCACTCAGCAGCCTGCTTTTCCCTCTCCCTCTGACCCTCTCCCCTGCTTGTGCTCTCTCTCTCTCTCTCAAATAAATGAATAAGATCCTAAAAAAATAATAAATTAAAAAACTTGATTTTGATGTATTTGAAAGTTATGTATATTGAGTAGTACAGAAATATATAAGATGAAATGTGTTCACATATGCAAACAATGTATAACCTTTGCTTTATTGCAACATTGTTCACACTAAGCCCCTTGTAACTGAATGCTCTGTAAATATAAAAATACAAACTTCATGTGAACAATGTGTGACCTTGGATAAGTTACCTGACTCAGTTTTCTCCTCTGTATAATGGTAATAGTAATAGTACCTCCCTCATACAATGATTGTGAAGATAAATGAGCTAGTAAATGTAAAGTGCTTAGAATAGTTCTTTTTTTTTATTTTTATTTTTTTTAAAGATTTTATTTATTTATTTGACAGAGAGAGACACAGCGAAAGAGGGAACACAGGCAGGGGGAGTGGGAGAGGGAGAAGCAGGCTTCCCGCCGAGCAGGGAGCCCGATGCGGGGCTCGATCCCAGGACCCTGGGATCATGACCTGAGCTGAAGGCAGATGCTCAATGACTGAGCCACCCAGGCGCCCCTAGTTCTTTTTTTTAAAGATTTATTTATTTATTTGAGAGAGAGAGAGAGCACATGCACAAGAGTCCGGGGTGGGGGGCAGAGGGAGAGAGAAACTTAAGTGGACTCTACACTGAGCGTGGAGCCTGACAGGGCTCGATCTCATGACCCTGAGATCAGGGCCCTGAGATGATGACCTGTGCCGAAACCAAGTCGGATGCTCAACCGACTGTGCCACCCAGGCACCCCAGAACCGTTCTCGACACAGAATAAGCGCTATAGAAATGTTTACCACTACTTCACCTTTTAACGTCTAACCAAACTGTTTCATTACATTAAAAATGGACAGCTGTAGTTGACAAGATGTAGCTGGATCTTTCTTTTTATCCAGTCTGACAATATCTGCCTTTTAATTTGTGTTAAGACCACTTAAACTTGATAATTTTATTTTCAAATTTCTAGGGAACAAATACAAAAGTTGACCCCAATAGTAGTCCTTAAAGTAAACCATGATAAATTCCTGAAAGTAGAACCATTTAGTTAAATTTTCTGAGCACAATGTAATAAAACTAAAACTTAGTAACAAAAGGTTAATTGAAAAATTTTGAACCATTTATACATTTAAAAAAAATCCTTCCTAGTGCACTGAAAGGCAAAATCAAAGCAGATGTTCAGAGATGAATGAGAATTAGAATACTAACTGTAGGGGCGCCTGGGTGGCTCAGTCGTTAAGCGTCTACCTTTGGCGCAGGTAATGATCCCAGGGGCCTGGGATCGAGCCCCACATCGGGCTCCCTGCTCGGCAGGAACTCTGCTTCTCCCTCTCCCGCTCCACACTGCTTGTGTTCCCTCTCTCACTGTCTCTCTGTGTCAAATAAATAAACAAAATCTTAAAAAATAAGAATACTAACTGTAATGTTTAAGAGTGTGGGGCATGGACATGAAGTCATGTGGCTCTCATCCAAGTTCTGGCTCTGCTCCCCGCTGACTATGATTCTGATCCAGGTGTTGATATAAAGATAGTAATACCTATCTTAGAGGGTTTTTTCCCAATTAAATGAGATGACACTTAGCAGTCTTTAAACGTCACTGTTTACACTGTGCACTTAACATTTCCCAATCACAATTTAGAGATGTAAAAAGGGAATTCTTTCCCTGTCTAGATCAAATCCAAATTCTACTGATGGCAGAAAACGCACACTTGAACACTGAAGGTAACTCAGTCACAATTACTGTAGTCTCTTGGGGATTAATACTCAAGCAATCCAGAATCTTTCCTGACTCTCTCCACATTTCTGGATCACCTTCTCCATACTCAGCTTCCTGGGCAGGAGCATCTGGTGGAGCCAGGGTCATATGCCTTCATACAAGCTTTCAGATTTCTTTCTTTTTTAAAGATTTTATTTATTTATTTGACAGAGAGAGAGACAGCTAGAGAGGGAACACAAGCAGGGGGAGTGGGAGAGGGAGAAGCAGGCTTCCTGCTGAGCAGGGAGCCCGATGCAGGGCTCGATCCCAGGACCCTGGAATCATGACCTGAGCTGAAGGCAGGTGCTTAACGACTGAGCCACCCAGGCGCCCCAAGCTTTCAGATTTCTAATAGAGAAATGAATGTCTATCCCCTTGCAGGCTCCATAGTTGGGTACAAGATCTTTTACACTCAAATAGAGACTTCTCCACAAGCTGAGCAGCCTAAACCCAGCAAATGTCGACCAGATCTCCCTTTTCAGAAAAAGGCATTTTGTTTTTGTCCTAAAATCTGTTTCCCCAGAACGTGCTGCATCCCATGCCTCAGCCCTTCTCAGTCTAAGCTCTTACATCGTTATAAAATCTTCCCATAGTTTAAGATTCAAACTATGCTTTAAGCCCTTCAGGCTTTGGCTCTTATTCTGCAGAGGTTTTTAGAACAAAAAATTCACTGAAGTAGCTCAATGGGTAGAAAGCCATGGCAACTAGAAATTAAAAACCTTGGCAGAAAATCTCCTTATTTTATCCTGTTATACTCTCTTTATTACTGTTGTTAGAAAATATATGGGATGGGCCAAAGCTGTACTTAAAGGGAAATACACAGTATAATAAATATGAGCATAAGCTTTAAGTTAGGCCTGGGTTCAAAATGTCCCTGCTCTGCTACTTACCAGCCATGTGACCTTGGAGAAATTCTTTAATCTCAAGGCTTAGTTGCATCAACTATAAATGGTGTTAATAATATTACAGTCTGGGATACCTGGGTGGCTCAGTTGGTTACGGTCTGCCTTCGGTTCAGGTCATGATCCCAGAGTCCTGGGATCAAGCCCCCCACATCAAGCTCCTTGCTCAGCGGGGAGCCTGCTTCTCCCTCTGCCTTCCGCTCCCCTTGCTTGTGTGCTCTCTCGCTCTCTCTGACAAATAAATAAATAAATAATCTTTAAAAAATAATATTACAGTTTATCTTTGAACAACATGGTGGTTAGGGGCCCTGACCACCCCCACACAGTAGAAAATCTGCGTATAACTTTTGACTCTCCAAAAACTTAACTACTAATAGCCTACCGTTGACCAGAAGTCTTCCCAATAACAAAAATAGTTGATTAACACACACTCTGTATGTCATATAGTATATATTGTATTCTTACAATAAAGTAAGCCAAAGAAAAGAAAATGTTATTTAGAAAATCATAAAGAAGAGAAAATACATTTATAGTACTGTACCCTATTTATAAAGAAAATATCCATGCATAAGTGAACCCACTCAGTTCAAACTTGTGTTGTTCAAGGTCAACTGTATTTGCGTCATCGAGAGGTTGTGAGAATTGCATGAGATAATTCCTTTAAAGCACTTAGTACTATGCCTGTGTGAAAGGAATCCTTGGACAATATTGAGAAAGTGGTCCAAGAGACTTTTTGGTCATTCGTGGCCACTTGTCACATGACCATTCTTCAAGGAGAAACTGTCAGGAGAAGAGTGTGATACCCATCACACAAGCTGGGTTGGTCCCATGAGATAACAGGGAAAGACGTAACGGAGCATGGAGTGTTTTCTTAGATTTTACATTTTGCTTACCTGCAGTATAGTGTTCCTGATAACAGACAGACCAAGTTTCTCTCTCAGTGCTCCAAACGAGAAAGAAAAGCTGTAGTTAGATGACAATCACTGTCAATCTTGGATAAGCAAGAAGTTCGGAAGGTAGAAGGGAGAGAAGCAGTCACCACATCACGTCCACAGAGCTAAACTGCAGATGAGCTTCTTACTGTCCTCCCTTCCTAAGAGAGGGAACTCATCTGAAAACCAGTAAGGAGAGAAACTTCACCATCAAAGGCCTGAGAAAAATGTATCGTGACTATTACTTAATCCTTTGATTTGAAAATAAAGGGACTTTAAGGAAAATTCCCTCTTACCGATACCTGTATTGTTATAGATGGAATGCTTGTGTCCCTCTAAAATTCATATACTGAAACCTAATCCCCACGGTGATGGTATTTGGAGGTGGTCCTTTGGGCGGTGATTAGGTATGAGGGTGGAGTCCTCAGGAATGGGACTGGTGCCCTTATAAGCGACCTGAGAGAGTTCCCTCTGCCTTTCTGCCACTGAGCACACAACTAGAAGTCAGACTGCAACTCAGAAGAGGGCCCTCACCAGAACCGGACTTGCTAGCATCCTGATCTTAGACTTCAGCATCCAGAACTGTGAGAAATAGGTTTCTGTTGTTGATTAGCCACCCAGCTGACGGTAGTTTGTTACAGCAGCCCAAGCTGACTTACACATGTCTTTCAGAATTCTGAACCTTACATTTACTAAGTTATAGAAACAATCTATTACCTAATTTGGGGCCTGGAGAGAGAAGGCTGTCCCTTGATCTTTGATTAAAAAATGCCCCTAAAATGGCCTGAAACATGACTGATGGTCAATAGATCTTAAATATTATTACACTACTTATTTTAAAGGAAAAAAATAAACTAAGTGTTGGATGAGAGGAGGTAGACAAATTACAAAAAATAAAGAAAAGAACCATAAACAGATATTGAACTATAGTTAATGAATGAATGCTAAGGTATTTGGGGGCAAAATGTATGGATGATTGCAACTTACTTTGAAACACATAAAAAATAAGAGGGATGGATAGATGAATAAATAGTGATAAAGCAAATATAGCAAAATATTCACTGAAGAACCTCAATGGTGAGTATATGAATTTTCACTTTCAAATTATAAGGTTGAAATCTTCCATAATAAAGCGTTTAAAAATTAATTGAATATAGAAACTAATATAGTTAAAAACAGAAAATTATGCATTAGAAAACAGAAAAAGAGCAGAATTGAAAACTACATTCTAGAGCTGGAAAGCATATCAAATAGATAAAACTCTATAAAATCAAATCAATAAAAAAGCCTAAAGATGGAGAGAAAACTCAAATGTACTACCTTAGTAATAAAAAAAAGAGGATATAATCTCTTTTCAGGAGTGTTCAGAAAAATAATATTGTCAACTCTCCACTAGCAGTTTTTCTGGATTGGGCAATTTTCTAGGTTTATTTAAAAGAGAAAAAAATCTAAAAGAACCAATATAGCCATTTGTAAAAAGGGAAAATATTACTGCTTACCCAAATACAGATGGACCCAGAATAGGTTTGCAGCCAAGTTCTATAGTCTGTCTCTATTAAGAAACAGGTGATTCTTGTATCTTTTATATGGTCTAAGGCATAGAAAACATTCCCCGTTCATTTAACGGAGCTAGAATGATCTTGATTCCAAAACCTGAAAAGTACAGCAAATACAAAAAACCATAGCGCAACATCATTTATGAACATAAATGCTAGAGTCAGCAAATTGAATCTAGTAGCGTATTACTTGAATAATACATTATGACCAAATAACATTTATTTCAAGGGCTTCGTATTAAGAAATATATTAAGAAATATATTTCGTATTAAGAAATACGTTTCGTATTAAGAAATATATTCATGGGCGCCTGGGTGGCTCGGTTGGTTGGGCGACTGCCTTCGGCTCAGGTCATGATCCCGGAGTCCCGGGATCGAGTCCCGCATCAGGCTCCCTGCTCGGCGGGGGGTCTGCTTCTCCCTCTGACCCTCCCCCCTCTCATGCTCTCTCTCATTCTCTCTCTCAAATAAATAAATAAAATCTTAAAAAAAAAAAGAAATATATTCACAATTTATATTAATAAGTCAAAGAAAAACATAAACAGATGCTAAATATATCTTTGATACAATTCAATATCCATTACTGAGTTAAAAAAAAAAAAAGACAACTCTTAAATTTTCCCTCAGCAGTATAAAAGGAAGCCCCCTGAAGCAAACAGTAAGACATGGTCAGACTTGAACATGGCATGCTTAACATGCTTAACATTAAAAGGATGGACATTCCCATTAAAGTCAAGAACATAAGTTTTCCAGTTATCACCACTGTTACACGACTTTGTTCTGGGAGTTCTAGCCAATACTAGGACAACAGTAAGACATAAGACGTATAAATACTGGAAGGGAGAGAGAAGGGAGCTTTAAGCTTCTCCCTGGGAAAAAACTAAGAAAATCAATTAAACTAATATAAAATTTTCAAAATGATGGCCAGGTCCAAAAAATATTTTTTAAAAATCCATAGCGGGGTGCCTGGGTGGCTCGGTTGGTTAAGCATTCTACTGGGTTTGGGCTGAGGTCGGGATCTCGGGGTAGTGAGATGGAGCCGCACGCTGGTCTGCTTGAGGTTCTCTCCCTCTGCCCCTTCTCTTGCTGGTGCCCCTATGTGTGCGCACGCAAGCTCTCTCTCTCAACTAACTTTAACTAACCAACCAACCGACCAGCCAATTAACTAATCAACAGCTTTTTTACACAGCATCAATAACCAGACTCCATCGTAGGGGGAACGTTCAGAACAGCAACGACGACAGCATCGCATTTTAAAAGCACTCAGGTGTAGACACAGGACCACATGCATTATATTTTGAGGACTATATCCCTTCCCCACAAGAACAGCCTGGCTGGTCGAACTCACTCTTCCGAGGGGTGCTTGCTCCTTGCGGCTGCTTGCGGCGGGGGCAGCCCCCCTGGCCCACGGCCCCGCCGCGCGAACCGCCTCAAGCGCCGCTGCCTGAGGGCGGGTTTGGGTGAGTAAAGAAGGTGCGGAGGCGGCTCCCTGCTCGGCCAGGAGCCTGCTTCTCCCTCTCCCGCTCCCCCTGCTTGTGTTCCCTCTCTAGCTGTCTCTCCCTCTCTCTGTCAAATAAATAAAAAATAAAATATTTTTTTTTAAAAAAAGGGGGCGCCTGGGTGGCTCAGTCGTTAGGCGTCTGCCTTCAGCTCGGGTCAGGATCCCAGGGTCCTGGGATCGAGCCCCGCATCGGGCTCCCTGCTTGGCGGGAAGCCTGCTTCTCCCTCTCCCGCTCCCCCTGCTTGTGTTCCCTCTCTCGCTGTCTCTCCCTCTCTCGGTCAAATAAATAAAAAATAAAATATTAAAAAAAAAAAGGGGGGCGCCTGGGTGGCTCAGTCGTTAAGCGTCTGCCTTGGGCTCGGGTCATGATCCCAGGGTCCCGGGATCGAGCCCCGCGTCGGGCTCCCTGCTCGGCCAGGAGCCTGCTTCTCCCTCTCCCGCTCCCCCTGCTTGTGTTCCCTCTCTCGCTGTCTCTCCCTCTCTCGGTCAAATAAATAAAAACAAAATAAAATATTTAAAACAAAAAAAGAAGGTGCGGAGGGCCGGGCGTGTTCTCCATCAGGGAGGGCGGGCAGAGACGCCGCAAGATGGTGGCGTGAAGGGCCAGGAGAGGCCCCAGGAGGTGAGCGGGGTCAGGAAGGAAGAGCGCGCCGGGGGTCGCCTCCAGGGGGTGAAGCCGAGAGGCCCTCGCCATCTTGGGCGCCGCGCTGGAAAGAGTGGGCAGATGCCGCCACATTTCCTCCTCCTCCGACTCGGCGTTGCTCTGGACGGCTGTGCTGCTATCTTCTTTTTGCTCCACTTCCTTCCCCAAATTGACTTGGCTCCGCTCTCCCTCGGGGAGCTGCATTGTTACAGCAACGGGCTCCCTTGTCCTCGGGTTGGTGACCGGGGCAGATGGCGGGGCGGAGGAAAGGGTGGTGCACGCAGGGCGCTCCTGTGTCCCGGGGACCACCTCACCGCTGCGGACTTAGGGGCCCTCGTAGCCCCCTGTTAAGGCTCACACCCGCACTCCCTGCAGTTTCTTACACTCTGCTTGCACCCTTGTAGATAGTCCCCTTATCAAGCCTTCCTCAAATGATCCTAATGGGGGGGGGGGCACCTGTTTTCCTGCTGGGCGGGGACCGACAGCAAAGCTTACCTGCGGGCTCACATCTCGGCGGAGTTCAGTGCCAGACTGGTAGGGGGAAGAGAGGTGAGGTGGTACTCAGGGAGAGCGTAGCATGTCACCTGATTACCTGGCACGGCTCTGGCCAAGCTGGGGTTTCCATCTGGCAGGAAAGTGCCAAACCAGCAGGGACAGCAGAGACACCCCAAATATGACACCAGGTTCCTGAACTTCCCCTCACAGGGCTGTGAGGTAACCACCTCTGCCCCCTCGTGGACAGAGGAGGAACCCTGCCCCAATTAGAGATCTTCCTACAGAGAAGGCTCTAGAAGGATTCTGCGCTCACTGGTAGAAGGAGGGAGAGGAAGGTGCGTTGTGGGTAACTTTTTCCTTTGTTTATATTTCCAGGTATGGGGAATGCACGTGTTATTTTTTATAAGGAGAAAACAATACAGTGGACTTCATTTTGGAAAAATGAAAGTGTTTGGAGTTGGGAGCAGGGGTGTTAGCTGCTTCCGCATATGAAGGCTTCCTCCCTTTACCCTTGCCTCCCACTAGCCTAAGTTCCTGAGAATCTAACTTGACCTTAGACTTTGCATGTACTGTCTCTGTGCACCATTTTGCTGTGGGCCAGTGAGAGAACAAGGTGAAAAGCATTGTGTAAACCATCAATAAAAGTGCTAGAGAGATGTATCAGTTACTCTCATGATTCCTCTTTCTCCTTGGACTTGTCTATCAGACCCCACCTAGTGTGCCTGCCTTGTCAGTCTGACCTGACATTGAACCTAGTTCACTCTACCCACCCCCTGGTGTCCACCCTCGTGGAGCTCTCCCACATGGCTGGCTCCATCCCTGAGCAGCACAAATCCTGCTGGTTGCCTTGTGCCAGGGAAAGCCCAGACCTGGCCTCAGGCCTTGGCTTTGCTCTGACTTGCTATACGACCCTGGAATAGTACTTCTGTTCTCTGGGCCTGTTTCCCTCTATGTACAAAGTGGAAATCTACCCTCTAGCTCCAAAATTGCTGGATTTCAGGGAAAGGAATTTCCCTAGGAATGATGCCTCTGCTGTCCCTTCCCCTCAGCTGGCAGGGCTCACAACTCAGGCCTCTTCCACAGCTAGGAGACAGGGGGAGAGGAGTATCCTGGAGCAGGGCCTCCTGTCCCTTTGAGAAACAGAGCAGCCTGTATGGGGGTATGGGGGTTTGACTCCCACCAGCCCAGGGCTGAGGGAAAACCATTAAATCAAATGAAGGAAAAGAAAATCTCTTCTATGGATTTTGTGTCAAGGCCATCAGCATTGCTGGCAGGCTTAACTTCCTTCCCGCAGTGGAACTGAAACCGGCTGAGGCTAAACCCTGAGAATGGAGGCCAGGCCCAGGGGAAGCCTGGCACCTGGCCTGGCTCAGTTAATGTCTCCTCAGTAGAGTCCAGGATGTTCACAGGACGGAGGGAGAGGAAGCACCGCCTCATAACGAGATCAGGGGATCTCAAATCAAAGGTCTCTCATGCACACCAGAGCTATCCAGGTCAGTCAGAAGAACCGAGAGGGCGAGGGCAGAGGCTCTGGATGCCTTTCAAGGCCAGCACATCTCATCTGCTTGATACCTCCCCTTCCTAACTTGTCAGCTCCACTCTTCTGTTACTGGGACTCACGTGGACTCTCCTGCTTCTGTACCTTTGCTCATACTGTACCTTTTACCAAGAATGCATCTCCTAAAATCATCTGGCAAAGCCTTCCTGTTTCTCTCAGGCCCAGCTCAAATCCAACCCTCTCCAAGGAGCCTTCTGTCTTCTCCTTTCTCTCCTCCTCCTAACTCCTCCCAAGGCACACTAGACAGTGTACAGACGACTGTACAAACTACAATTAGATTACCTACTCCTGTTTTGTACAGGCAAACCATAACTAACCGCTGTGCCACTCAGATCTTAGGTGACAGACCTTCTTACCAGAAACAAATGTCCCAAAGCTTGTACTGAAGGTGTCCTAGGGACTGACTGATGCCAACAGTGACACCATGCCAAGCTCACCAACTCACTGAGAAGTGAGCTGACGCTGGAGGAGGGTGTGGGATTGAAGCTTTAAAATAACCCGGGAAGAGGCCTGAGAAATGAAATGAGGCTGTTTGGATAACGAGGTGATACTGATGATGTGGAGGCAGTGTTGATACGGGGTCCTACTACCTAGCTGCAGACAGGGGTCCACCGAGCATGGCTGAAGGCAGTTCCTAGAAAAGTAAAACTGTCTTCCTGTTTACACCCTAACAAGCTGAGCCTGCCGAGAGACTGGTTTTATCTGGAGGCAAATGCTGTTGGTGGCCTTTGCCTTCTTACTTGCCTTCCTGGACTTTGACTCCGCTTGGGCAGCAGAGTGTACAGACCCTGACTAGTAGCTAGGGGCCAGTCATGTAGGGCCGGGAATACGACCTGATCCTGGCCCAGGAGGCGCAAGGGACAACTGCTGAGGGGTTTCTGAGAAATAGTTTTCTTACTCGTAAGAGGCATTGGCAGCAAAAGGAGAAGGCGCTTGTGACTCTTGTCTTTCTTCTTGCTCAGAACGCTGTGCTCAAAGCTTAGCTTAGAGCTGAGACAACCACCAGGAAACCATGACAGAGCTGTGATCTCTGCCACGGACACAAAATGAGGAGGTGGTGGCGTGAGTGACATACCTGTGCTGTCCCTGTGCTATAGAAAAATGGTGACTTTGGAGTCAGGGTCATCCAGTGACAAGCCTTAAGCCTGGGTCCTCTGTCCTGGAGCCTTGGGAAGCTCCCTGATAGAGCTGGTTCCGAAGCGAGGCATCCAGGAAGCAAAAGAATCTTCCTCGAGTTGGCCTGTTTCTTTTTGCATGAATGGATTTAAATTTCCTGCACTCATCACAGACTCTCCTCTTTGTTCCCATTTTTGCTCTTGGTATAACAAATATATTATTATTAGTCACTTTGGATAATTCCCTTTCTCAGTAGGTCAGCCTTCAGAGCACCCCCGTGGTTGTCACTGGGCTCTGGTGGCTCACGGGTGTGTGCCCGGCCCGAGGGCGAGGCATTGCTGTGTGCTCTGGGCTGAACTGGTCTGGGGGCTAATGGCCTGTTAGAGAGATACACACACCCCAGGGGACACATCTGGCAGAAGGCCTCTTCTAGGAAAAAGGTTATTCCCTGAGAGAAATCCATTCCATCAGGTTGAGGTGGGACCAGAGCTCCCCTACCTTTCTTTCCTTCTCTACCACAGAGGTGGGCATGCGACCCAGGCTGGACCTAGGACTCTCTCAGCGTCCATTCCTGCCCAGTTACTTCCTGTAGACTGGACAGGGAGCGATTTCATTTGTTTTTCTAGTATCTTGGTTTCATTACCTATGGCCAGAGGAGCCTCTGGATCTTTCTCTGGAAACTACTTTTCATGTGGTTATCTCACCTTCTAAATTGTCCTCCTCCTGCAGAGTCCTCCCTGCTAAAATTATTGGGGCACAAGAACCTCCCCTCTCTGGGCGCCTGGGTGGCTCAGTCGGTTGAGCGACTGCCTTTGGCTCGGGTCATGATCCTGGAGTCCCGGGATCGAGTCCGAGTCCCGCATCGGGCTCCCTGCTTGGCAGGGAGTCTGCTTCTCCCTCTGACCCTCCTCCCTCTCGTGCTCTCTGTCTCTCATTCTCTCTCTCGCAAAAAAAAAAAAAAAAAAAAAAAGAACCTCGCCTCTCTCCCCCCACAGCCCCAGGCGTCTCCTACAGAATCCTGATTCGAGGCCTCTACCAGCCCGACACGCTGGGCCTTAGGCAGAATGCTGGAGAGCTAAGCCCCAGGGGCTGCATCCTGCACTGGCGCTGGAAAGCCACCGACAGTCATCCACAGGGCAGGCTGGGTGTGTTCGCCACAGCAGCGTGCAAGTGAGGAGGATTATCTCCCCAGACTGACCTGACCTGGCCTTTTTTGCTCCTAACTATCTTCAGAGTTCTCATGATTGTGTCATGAGAACAGGAGCGACCTGTAGATCTTTCCCTCCCTTAATATTCCCCTTCCTCCAAACCCAAGAACCTCTCTCATTTCTCTAGTTCCTTCCCCAGATTATGAAACTTCTACTCATTTTCTAATAAAAAATTTTGTCCGTCCTGGCTATCCTGATGAGAAATGACTTCCATGGTGGACTTTATTATTGTTCCAAATACTCATGGTCCCTCCCCCAGCTCCATCCTTGCTGCCTCCCCCCAACACACACACCCACCCCAGAAGATTATACCTCCCTACCTTTTGAACTCAGGAGTGGCCATGTGAGTTGCTTGGGCCAGTAAGAGGTAAACAGAAATAACAGAGTCACTTCTAAGCAGAGACCTAAGGGACAGCTGTGGTTCTGTCTCTTCTCCTCCTCCTTTTTTTGTTGTTGTTTTGTTTTTTGGTTTAAACAACAGATACTTATTTTCTCAGAGATCTGAAGGCTGGAAGTCCAAGATCAAGGTGTCTGCAGGGTTGGTTTCTTCTGAGGCCTGTCTCCTTAGCTTGCAGACGGCTCCCACCTTGCTTTGCCCTCACATGGTCTTTCCTCTGTGCACACGCGTATCTCGGGCACGACGTTCCTGGTGCCACCATGCCGGGCTCAGGGGTATGCTCTCCACCTGATTTTGTGCACAGGGCTGACCGAAGATGGAGATTTCAGCTAAGTGTCCAAAGTGAACTATGTCCTCTGTCCGGCAAGACCTGGCTCATCCACTCCATTTTCAGAATTATGACTTGGTGTCTGGGCTGAAGATCGAGTCAGCCAGCCACGCCTCCAGGTGAAACACCAACAGGTCTCCTCGTTCCTGCACAGGAATCTGCCACAGCTGGATGGAACCCGTGGTGGAGGAAGTGGTGACCTCAGCGGCCTATCCAGGAACCCAGCAGGTGTCCGTTGTCAGCCTGGCCCTTAGCAGCACCTGTGCTGTCGACCCCGCCAGGACCAGAAGCCCAAGAGCAAGCTCCGAGCAGTTCCCTCAGAGCTCCAGCCTCTTTCCTCCCACTCTGTGAGGACACTGGAAGGGGTCCCGGAGTGAAGACGGTGTAAAGCAGAAGTGCAGCTGACCCACGGTAAACACGTGATGGAAGTAAAATGTGAGCCTCTGTTGTTGTCAGCCATGGAGGTTTGGGGCCTTAGCCTCATGACTGATAGATCCTCTCAGGCTCTCATCAACAGGCCTTCTGTGTCCACAGCCCGGAGTTCCCTCTGCCCTCAGGATGTGCCGTGGAGCTGCAACGCTGGGCCCAGAGCAGTGGGGAGTAGGACTGCCTCGTCTCTTGCTGGGTCTTGGAGGGCCTAAAGCTGGGGTCTTTGTACTTGACTTCCTGCCACAGCGTGCCCTTTGGTCAAGCCTCGGTCTGGTCTGACCAGCCCCATCCCAGCTGCCCTGCTCTCCTGGGGCCCTTGGCTTGGAATAATAAAACTCGCATAATTTCTTCTAGAGCAAAGGACATAGCTTACCTAAGAGTGGTCAGTGGTTTCGTTTCAAATGTCCACACTGCTTGGAAGTACACATAATCATATAAAATTATTTTTATTAAAATAGAAAAGCTTTCCAGTATATTGCATTGAAGACATTTATATAGAAAAAGCAATTGCAACAAACATGCTACATCAGCACTGAGATATTCTGAAAGCTTTAAGTGCCCACTTTTAAACAATATTTTGGTATAATGAGCATACCCCTATATATTTCAAAGAGTACATATAATACTGAAAAAAATACTTCATGTAACATCTAAGTTTAGGTGCATACAAACAAGAAGCATTACATTGAATAGCTTATTTCAAACTGTGAAACACATTCAAAGTATTCAATTGCTTAGACAACATGCAAACACTTTAATACTTAGATTGACATTTTTAAATATATAAACCACAATTCTTTATAATTCTATATCAAAAAAGAAAGTCAGACAGTACACTTACCCACACTGTGCATATCACAAAAAGCAATGTGTCTTCACGAACGGAAAGTACTGGGTTAACACACATGATTGTCATTTTACAAATATGGCTATTTACCTTCTTCATAATAAAATAGAAATATCATGTATTATTTACATGAACTACTAATTATTTCACTTTTTGGCAAGTATATAAGTAGCAGCAATTGGTTTAAAGATTGATATTTAAAAACTCTAAGTTTAACTCA